GAATATGGAATTTCTGAAGAGGATATGTGTTTGCGTGATGTGATTTATGAATTCTAAATGACTCATTTATGGGGCAGGTTTGTCTTGTTTTACAGGGTTGTGACCCTTGATGAAACAACATTTTTCTAGCAACACTTTTACCAATAGTTATGTTGTTTCACCTACATCAACGTTTTCTAATAATTGCGTGTTTTCATTCTGTAACGTGTTCCAAAGTGTTGTTTATTTTTGAATTTAAAAATCAAACTCAAGCAGCAATAGGAAACAAGAGCAACAACCATTTAGCATGTGTTAGTCAAAGGCTGACCGCAGGAGCTCCGCTGTATAATGTCGCGAGTAGTTCGATTGCTCCGACGTGTTGTGCCTGAGTTCTTAAGTACTGCCTAGAAGTCATTGCTAGCGCCTCTACATTCACTCTCTCGGACCTAGTCCCGGAGCCAGATTCGAAGCCGATGTCGCCAGTGGCGACACGGGTGAAGGGGTGTATGAAGGAGACAAATGACATAATGTTAAAGACCACCACACTTGTCCATGTGTCACTTTATCCTCTTTTATCCTTTTATTGAGTTAATATACATAACTATTTATAATGACTTTTAATGTGAGTGCCACATTCTATGTGGGACTATCTCCCAAGCATTTATTAGCATTTACTCACTTCCACTTTTCTTATCATTTTGGAACACATCCATGGACATCTATTATTCATAAATTATAATAATTAACACGAAAATGAAGTAAGTATAACATACATGAGGATATTGTGTTAAATGTGTGGTAAGAGAATCCAAGATAAGATTATAAATGATAATATTATAAAGAGTGTGCGAATAATGCCTACAGTAGAAAAGATAGTGAAAAATATACTTAGGTAGTTTTGGCATGTAAGTAAAAGATATGTAGATTCTATTATAAGGAGAGTATATCAGATGGAGAAGAGTCACACTATCAAGTAAAGAAAAATCTATAAATTACAAGAGAAACTATTGAGAAAGATATTGAGATTAATGAATTGAATAGAAATATGGTCTTAAATAAAACATTATGGGCGAATTTGATCCATATAGTCGACTCCACTTAGTAAAATACTACATGTTTGTTATTATTGTTGATATCTTAACATGTACCCGTTTCTCTAATTAAAAACTAGGCTAGATTTGTTTTTGACTATAAAATTAAAGATATTTCAAATTTAGTTTAGTTCATACTTTTTTATTTCGGCGCAACAAAAAAGATCTTACACTATTTGGGATAGTTGTTGCTTGAAAACATGTGATGTCGCATGCAAGTATTCATGTATTTTGAAGTAGCAAGTGATAGAATAGTAGGGATATCGAACCCGCAAGGAATGAAAAATAACTTAGACTGATTTTTAAAACTTTCTTTTGTAAATGAGTATGTGCAAAAATAATCATAGTTGATGGTTTGTTACAAATTCAGTTTTGGAGTAAATAATGGCAAAAGCAATTTAATAGGAGTAAAATGAAGTCAATACTGGTGAGCATGTCGTGCCACAAGATGTTATAAAGTGATCTTATGGCGTACCTCTACAGCCTCAGAAACATATACAGTAAAGCAATGGGACAAATCTCTAAGCCTTGCTTGTAACTTTAATGCACACCTGGTTTATTATGAATGCCTTTTGGGATTGTAGATCTTTATATCTAAAGTAGTTAATCTAGTGAATATATTTATCCTACTATTTTCAATCACTTTTATCATGAAATCCACTTATTGATGGATCTCTCACAACAACAAAATTGTATCTTTTCCTAAGTTAATCATTTAAAGAAGTAGATTGTAATCACTTTGTGTTTGAGTATTGGATGTCCTTGCTTGTGTTTTTGAGAAAATTGTAATCTTGTATGATTATAATGAAAATTTCTTGTAAGTACAATGGGATTGAACTACTCTCGATTTGTGAGAAAAACCAAGATAACTTTGTGTGTCTCCTTCTTTGTTTCATTCTTTATCTGCTGCTTATCAGTCACGTCTGATTGATTCAGATTCTAGACTTTATGTTTAGAGTCTGACTAGAGTTTTTAAAAAGAAAGAAAAAGTCAACATAATTCAACCACTATTCTTGTGTTTTTCTCACCTTTAATCACCACCTACTATAATGAATAACAACATGTTATATTCTTGTTATGGTCCTATTATGTAATGAAGTTCCTACAATGAAAAAATTTGTGTTAAAAATGTTGTGTTGAAACAGATTGTGTATTAAAATTATGTGTTAAAACATACTATGTTGTTTGATGAAAGTGTTGTAATGAAAACAAGTTATAAATTCCAGGTTAAAATAGGTTATGATTGTTATGATGAAAATGTTGTTATAGTCCTACTATGTAAAACATATTTTATGTTAAACTTTCCTAACAATTGTTGTGTTAAAATAGGTTATACGTTATGCACAAGTTCTGTGTTAAAATATATCATCTGTTAAAATAAAATGCATATTAAAACCAAGTGTTAAAAATTGTTAAATTGTGGACATGTTATGCTAAATTGTGTTAAATTATGTCAATTACACATGATATGTCGAATTGTGCAGGTTATGCCAAATTTTGCCAATTAAATAGGTTAACACAAATTGCACATTTTATGGTAAATTATACATATGGTTATGTTACAGACAACAACATGTCAATTCATTTTATATTCAACACATTACAAACATCTCATTACATTAATACTGAGAAATTACACTGGACATTTCATTACACATAACAACACATGACGCTAATTTTAAAATACATACAAAATAGGTTACTTCAATACATGTGTTGCTACTAATGCAAACACAAGTAACAATACAAACACCAATGACGACCCCATAAAATAACCCATAAATATATTCTTCATCTTAAATAACTTTTTGTTTTTCATTGTGTGGCTCATTAAATCGATAAGCTTCTTATTCTTGTCTTTTAAAGATCTCACATTCGTTGCGCGATTGTTCATTTCTTCATCAAATACTTCAAAAAAGTTAAATCCCTTTTCCCCTCCACCTTAAAACAACCATAACCATACAACCTTCTTACGAGATTCTTATAAGTACAAAATGTTATCAATGATGACTCAATATAACACCAATATCTATTCCATCTTCTTCTTAGGCCATATTGATTTGTTAAAACAAATTAGAACCTTGAATCAGATATACATGAAAGAAATGAAAGGAATAAAATGTTAGATTTGCGCGATTGTTCAGTTATTCATCAAATCTCTCAAAAAGGTTAGATCCTTTCCCCCTCCACCTTAAAACAACCACAACCATACAACCTTCTTCCAAGATTTTTGTAAGTACACAATGTTATCAATGATGACTCAATATAACATCAATATTTATTCCATCTTCTTCTTAGACTAAATTGATTTATTAAAACAAATTAGAACCTTGAATCAGACATATATGAAATTAATGAAAGGAATAAAAGGAAGAGAATAAACAAATCGAAAAGAAGACAAGAAGAATGACAACGGAGAATAAGCAAAAAGAAGAAGACGAAGAGAAAATAAGAAGAGGCGAAGAGAGAAGAAGAAGAGAAGAAAAATGACAATACACCTGATGTTAGTGTAAAGACTCACGCTTATAAAATAGATTTATGTTATTTTTAATGATAATATATTAATAATTTAGAATATTTTAAAAAATTAACCTAATTATAAATTTTAAAATGTGACCTAAATTTAATTTAAGTATGACACGTCATTACTACTAATGTAATGTCATTAATAATTGATTTTAAATTGACAAGAGGATTAAAATTTAGTCATTATAGCATTAAACTAAATTTAATCAAATCAAATGACTAATAAATTAAAATACAAATTTTAACAGTAGAATATAATCAATTTAAATCTTATGATTTAATTTATTTTTGAAGTAAGTTGAATATATAATTGATATGTACTAATAGTATAAATAATTTTTACACTGTCAACTAATCACTATTATCTATTCCACCAAATCATATAATAAATTTTAAGTTATTGATATGACATAGAAGATTAAAGAATTTCTATTGAATGACTGTGTAAAATTATTTTACGCTATCAATTAAACTATATATATATATATATATATATATATATATATATATATATATATATATATATATATATATATATATATATATATATATATATATATATATATATATATATATATATATATATATATATATATATATATATATATATATATATATATATATATATATATATATATATATATATATATATATATATATATATATATATATATATATATATATATATATATATATATATATATATATAACAAATACTAAGAGCATAATTATTGATTTTCAATGTTTTTATACGGTTTTCTAAAACACTTTGTAAGAAACAAATGGATATTTTGGTCAAGTTTGAGAACATTCTTACACTCCTTTAAGGAGCAAAAATAATAATATAATACTCTTTCTGTCTCATAAAAAAATAGTTTATTTATATATATATATATATATATTTATGTCTTAAAATAATTATTCTTTTTTAATATTAATTGCATAATTATTATTACTTTTCCACTATCATATTCTTAGTTATTAATTTTCACACTCTTCAATTGCTATTTTAATAAATGATATTAATTTTATCATCAAAATTAATATATTTAATCGTTTTTAAAGGTTTAAATAAATTATATGAATATTTAAAGTATGTGATTGAGTTGTTTAAATAATTTAAAAGTTTAATATAATATAAAAAATTAAATAAAACTTATTTAAAGATGTGGATGCTCTATTATATTAACCAAATATTGACTCAATAAAATTAAGAAAAATAAGCATAAAAATGAGTTTAAGTTAGAAATTAAATAAAATCTCTTTTATTTATTGAGATTAATTGGACACATCTAAAATTCAAATTAAGGTTTAAGTGTTCCAGTCGTCTCCCACGGCTCAACCACCGATAAAAAGAACTTTCACGGCAAAGTGAGAAAAGTTACCGTAGCGGTTTTGTGAAAAATGAAATCAATAATCGACAAAGAACCACCGTCAGATTTGTTCCCTTCCAAGCACGAATTTCCCAGACTCGTCGCCGTGCTCGCCGTCGCATCGCTAGTTGCTTGGACCTCCAATCTCCTTTTCACCTCTCTCCTTTATCCATCTACGAAACCATTCTGCGACACCAACGTCAATTCTCTTGATTACTTTCCCGGTCAGTCTCTGCCTCTCCCACTCCTGTTTCTTTTGATTTTGTTTTGAAATGATGTGCTTCATTTTTGTTGTTTATTTGATTTGGTAGGATACAGATAGTTGTGAACCTTGTCCAAGTAATGGAGAGTGCAATGATGGAAAATTGGAGTGTTTGAGTGGTTACCAAAAGCATGGAAATTTGTGTGTAGAAGATGGAGATATCAATGAATCTGCTAGAAAAATTGTGTGTTTGTAGAATTTGATTTTTTTTTTTTTTTTTGTTTATTGGTTTTGGAAAATAAATTCAGTTTTCTGTTATTCTTTGCTATTCAATTTTATCAATTTCATTGGCAATTTTTTGTGGTTTAACATTAGGTGGAGACTGTGGAGCGTCACCTCTGTGGAGAATATGCTCAATTTTTGTGCTATGGAGCTGGATCAGTTTGGGTTAGTTTTTCATTATTAACCCTTCGATTCTGCTGTTTACTTGTGTTTGTTGTACTTATGGTTGTGTAAGAGTTGAGAGAATTGATAGGAGCAGTTAAGCTTTCCATTTATATTTCTAACTAACTTTTGATTTATGAATTGTTAGTTACAAATAACTGCATTGCTTTTATAGACAACCAGTTGACATGCAACTGCAGGTTTTGAGTGCACTCAAGCTGACGGATGTTAGTCTTGAGACTTAGGCTAATGCTAATACTAATCTTACTCTAAAAAGACATTATTGACATTAGAGTTATTAATCCCGAATAGCGGAGCGGAGAGGTCGACCGCAAAAATGGGATAGTGGGATAGCAGAATAACTTTTTTTGACTAATTATATGAATAATCTACCTTTATATTTAATGTAGATTAATTAATGCTTTGGACTAATTATATGAATAATCTACAATTAATCCCCGAATCAATATATTTAAAAAGAAAGAAAAAAACAATGATATGAAAGAAAAAACAACCTGAAAACGAATAGAAAAACAATGAATAGAGAAGAACAGGATAGAGAACAAAATAGAAAAACAGAAAACAGAAGTAGAGAAGAAGGAGAATAGAAGAAGAATAGAGAGAAGCTTGAAGCAGTTGAGACAGGGGAGGAGTTAGAGCATAAGAAGCAGCGTGCAAAAAACACAATAAGCAGCGAACAAAAGAAACACGATGGAGAAAGGTAAAAACACGAATGAAAGAGGAGAAAACACAAACGACTATAATAAATTTTCCAATTAAATTTTTTTTAAGGGTTAAAAGGTCTGTTTCCACTCCAGAAAAACCCTAAAAGAAGAAAAGCGCTCCGGGGCGGGAAGTGCTCCGCTCATGCAATCCACTATCTCAGCTTTCTCGGCCGCTATCCAAAACTGGGATGTGCGTCGCTCCTCCATAGCGGAGGGTTGCCGCACTGGGAGAGAATCCCGGGATAGTGCCTAGAGCGGCCGTTATTAATAACTGTGATTGACATAAAGTTGTTGAATAGATCACTTGTAGGTAATGACAATGGATAAGATGATTATGATAGTAATATGGGTTTGACCGCACAAACCACTGCTGACTTGCAATATAAGGCAGCCATGCAGACGGAATATAATGCCTTGATTCATAATAACACTTCGACACTTGTTCCTCTCCACTCTCAAAGACAAGCCTTGCAAATGGATATTTAGAGTTAAAGAGAATCCTGATATGACAGTAAATAGGTACAAGGCTAGACTTGTAGCGAAAGGTTTTCATCAAAGACGAGGCTTTGACTTCAATGAGACCTTGGTTGAGAGAAGCCAGTTTTGACTCTAGGTTGCATAGAATGTGTGTTGACAGGTTTATGTAGAACAGACATAGCTTTAGGTGGAATAGGCATAGGACTAGGTAAAGAGGAAGCAGTGCTAGAGGACTCAAAAGTAGTACTTGGCTCAGCAGGGTTTATGTCACTGGACTGACCAGAGTTAGATGATTGAGCTGCACTGGAATCTCTGGGTTGAATTGGTTGATGAAACACAGTTTCATAGGAGGAGACAGACCCATGAGAGGCTTCACTTGAGGAGGTTGATACTTGAGAGGGTTGAGCTAGGTTGTTAGAGACAAGGGAGACACTATCTAAGGAGGCATTTGGTGACTGAGATGGCTCATGTGTGGGAGAGTCAATAGTTTTGTCAGGTATGGTTGAAGGTGATGAGAGAGGAATTGATATGATGAGGTGGGAAAGAGACACTTGAAGGAGGGGAGAAGATACATGATCAGTTTGGGAGAATAGTTCTTGGTAGGGAAATCTCAACTCATTGAATAATACATCCTTGGAGATGTACAATCCCCCACTAGAAGATAGACACATACCCTTTGTTTGACGTGGAGTAACCAAGGAATAGGCACTCTTGAGATCTAAAACCCAGTTAATGAGTGTTGTTAGTAAGGGAAATCAAGCACAACCAAACACTTTTAAAAAGTTATAATCAGGTTTAAGCTTGAACAAGGCAGTATAAGGTACTTGAAAATCAATAGAGGCGGAAGGTAGCTATTGATAAAATAGACAGCTGTTGAGAAATCATAGTTCCAATAAGTGAGAGGTAAGGATTCTTGGCTTAAGAGTGTGAGGTTCTTATCAACTATGTGCCTTTGTTTCCTTTCAACAACACCATCTTGGTGACGAGTGTGAGGGCATATAACCCTATGAATAATACCTAGGCCAGATAGGGATTTGTTTAAAGGTCTAAACTCACCTCCCCAATCAAAACGAAGGCTTTGATGGGAAAACCATGTTGAAGTTCAACCATGGCTTTAAAATGTTTGAATATAGAAATAGCTTTGGATTTAGTCTTAAGAAAATAGATCCATGTAAACTTAGAGAAGGCATCTACAAAATACATGTAGTATTTGAAACCCAAAGTAGAGACATTGGGGGAAGGTCCCCACAATTCATAGTATATAATTTCCAAAGGAGAAGTATAGGTGGTGTGTGAAGTAGGGGAGTGTAATTTGTGGGCTTTTTCCATACAACAGGTTGAGCAGAAGAAATTGCAACTTTTATTATTGGAAGGAATATTACATTCATCTAACACAAGTTTTAGGGCATGTATATTAGGATGACCTAACCCTAAAAATGCCACATATTAGAAGTACTAGAGTTCATATAAGCTGAATTAATCTAGAAACAAACTTATTTTGACAAACAGAAGTAGACAGCAGTTCAGACTTGTCACCGTTGCTAGACAGGATGATGGATGGAAAGTCATAGAGTCCATCAGCTCCAACATATCCTTCAAGCAAAGTGGCATTAGAGGCCTAAATTTGACAAGACACTTGTCAATTGAGAACCAAAAATAGACATTGTTGTCATGAGAAAATTGGCTAACTCTGAATAATTTCTTGGTTGTGGAAGGTATAAGTAAAAGGTTGTGGAGAGTGAGAGGTGTGTGAAGGTGAACAGGTGAGGAGAAAATACTAGAGCCAGTAGAGTGAATGTGCAAACCTTGCCCATTGCCTATATAAAGTTGATCATAGCCTTTAAAATAAGTCAGTTGTTGGAGGTTCTTGGCATCATTAGTGACATGAAATGAAGCTCCTGAGTCTGGGAACCATGATGTAGATGGAGAGGTGGAAGGCACTGTATTAGCAACAAAGGCACTAGGATTAGAGAATGTAGGAATCTGCCTTGAAGGTGGAGGTGGCCTGGTCCACACATTTGTTGAAAAAGCTCCATAACCAATGTTAGATGTAGGTCGCGAGTGTTGATTGTAAGAGTTACCAAAGGATTCAGGTTGGTAGCGTTGACTGAACCTGTACCAGCAGCTAAGAGTTGTGTGTCCAAATTTTGAGCAGACTTGGCATTGGACATTAGAGCTGGGAAATCTGCCTCCTTTACCTCTACCGTTACGATTTACGACCAGCACATGTACCTCTACTATCACGAAAGTTGTGCAGGTGTTATTCAGGATTATGAGTATAGGACTGAACTGGTGAGGAATCTTTACTAACTGGATTCACTTCTTCAGAGTTGTTAGAGCTAGGTGCAACATGAGTAATATTGAGAGAGACTAGATCAGGAACAACTTGAATCTTGAACTTTGCCGTTGAACTTTGCATGGCAAAGTTCATGGGCTAGAAGTAGAATTTCTACTTCATCCAAGTCCATGAGTCCAAACTTACTTTCAATGACTGATACTATAGGAGCAAAGTCTGAAGGTAAACCTTCAAGAATCACATCTATGTGATGTGATTCAGGAATTAGATCTCCAATAGAGGAAGAGTTAACAATGGCACCAACCTTGAGCATATACTCTTGGACACACGAATTATCAAGAGTTAAAGCACGAAGCTCTACACAAAGTTGCTTGGCTCTCGCACGCGTCTGTTTCTGAAAATAGTGGAACAAGCGATCCCAAAGCTGATGCGCATGAGTACAACCAAGAACACGCAAGAGGATTTCATTCAAGAGCATTGACTGAAGCCAAGAGAGAAGCATTTGATCTTTTTGCAGTCAGCGAGAGTCCATAGGATTTACATTACCAGAATTGCGAGCCTCATCAGTGAGATTGTGCGAGTTGATGTATGGTTTGATTTGTTGTCGCCATAGATGAAATTTCTTCTCATCAAGCTTCTGCCCGATTTTGGGTGAGAGCTGAAGGCAACTGGATTCTTCAGTAGAATTCGAGATCGCCGGCGCCGGAACGCTAGAAATGCAAGCTGATGACGGTGGCGATTGCAAAGGTTGCGGTATCTCAATCATGGTTAAGACCTAGATCGTGATCTAGCAATCGGATACTATGTAAAAATTGAGAGAATTGATAGGAGCAGTTAAGCTTTCCATTTCTGTTTCTAACTAACTTTTGATCTATGAATCATTTATTAGTTACAAAAACTGCAACTCTGTTGCTTTTATAGACAACCAGTTGAGGCTAGGGCTAATGCTATTACTAATCTTACTCTAATAGGCTGTGTTTGTCTCTGCTTGAGTTTTTATTGTTGCTGGTTTTGAATTCCTGTTTGTATTCTCATCTCAGGTTCATGACGATGATTTGTGGAATTATTTTGAGTCAGTGGGAAATGTCAAAGAGGGCAATGCACTTTATAATTATACAAAACAAAGGGCATTTGATACAATGGATAAATTATTGGAGATGAGGTTAAACTCTCAGGGGTATGTCACCTTCTCATACTTTTCAAGCTCTAAATAACAATGGATTTTTTTTACTTTTGGACATATATTTCCTACTAGGCCAAGACTTCTGTTGAATACGTTACTTATGGCTTTTATAGGATGAAGGAATTCAAATGTCCAGATTTGCTAGCAGAGCATTACAAGCCACATGCCTGCCGCTTTCGCCAGTGGATCACTCAACATATTCTTGTTGTTTTGCCAATTTGTGCTATGGTATCCCTTCCTAAAGGCACACTCTAACACACACTCATTACATAAGTGTGTTTGTATGTATGCTATGTTATCGATGAGTAGACATTTTAACATTGCCAAGATTAAACAGCTTGTAGGATGCTCAATTTTGTTCTGGAATGTCCGTCGAAAGCTACGCGTGTCGAGACGAGTTGAGGAGCTTTATAGCAAGGTATAGTGGGATATGTGTGTGTGTGTGTTTAAGTGCACATGATAAATATATTATGAACATTTAACTCCTTTATTTTATTTGCCTTATTTGAAAAACTGGCTTGTACCACATTATTTGTCACTTAAAAATATCTAGAGTATTAAATACTACTTTTCTTTTCCATAATACCCTTATTTATTGGTATCTCAATTAATTGGTCCTACGTAACTCCTAATAGAGCATTTTAGTCAAAACATTATCTTACCCTTGAAAGAAGTACAATTAGTGATTTCCTTAAGATCCGTTGATTACCTTATATGACAAATAAAGTGAGATAGAGGGAGTAATAGAGTACTCATGTTAATTAGAGTTCACAAAGTAGTATGGTTTCTGTCAGTTGGGAGTTGGGTGTGCTAAATAGAAGGTTCATATGCAATTATGCCGCACTTTGTACCATTTGCCATGTCTTATTATTGCAGTTATGTAGGTTGAGATGACTGGAAAAATATCCACGTTCCTTAATTTTTGTAGATAGAGTTTGTATAAACTAAGTTTTTGAATAATGCACCGAACCAATAGCTCAGATCTTTTGCGGGCCTGTTCTGTAGTGGCTTTTATCTCCTGTTAACCACCTTTGCAGCTGAAGTGCACTGGTTCTTTTGTTTGGATGACTATTGCTGCTTTATTCAGATTAATCTATGTTAAAACAACTTTGTTGCTGATTTTATAGGTCTGCGAAATACTTGAAGAGAATGCATTGACATCAAAAAGTGTAAATGGTGAGTGTGAACCCTGGGTTGTTGCTTCTCGGTTACGAGATCACCTGCTTTTACCAAGAGAGAGGAAGGACCCTTTATTATGGAAAAAGGTAATCATGAAGTTATCTTGTAATTTGGAGCTTGATTATTCTCTATTGTCACAAAAATAATTAATCAAATAGCAAAACATATCAAAATGATTCTGTTCATCCCATTAGTTAACTTGGTTCTTCAGTCAATCTCCTGCTGCAAAAGTTCCCCTTGGCTGGTTTTGGTACTTAGTTCGAGCATAGTATTTCTATCTGTGCTGATGTCCTGCATTTTCTCTCACTATGCTGCTTTGTCTTTTGTTTAGCCTTCCACTTAAAAATAATTTTTCTTTCATTCTGTGGTGTATCAGTGAGGATTAAGATGTATTTCAAAATAGTGTATCCCTGTAATTCAACAGAGTTCAGTGATTCTTTCTTTCCTCATTGCTCATATTTAATTGGTGTTGGGTGTAATGTTTTGAACCCCATCTATCTGCAACTTGCTGTTAATGACATCACTTTGTCCTATAATCGAAGTTGAACATTCCAACGGATTTTTACAATGAACTACACGGATGACTGTGTCTGTACTTTGTAATAACTTTGATTGGGAATTGAGTTTGCAGGTAGAAGAATTGGTTCAAGAAGATTCTCGCGTAGACCGCTATCCAAAGTTGGTGAAGGGTGAATCTAAAGTGGTATGGGAATGGCAAGGTAGGCATAGTAATATGTTTGATTAGTCAATGTAAACAAGATGTTGGGAACAAAATTTACATTGAATGGGAGAGTTTAGCAAAATTACCTTACACTATTCCATTCCTTTGAGTACTGATTAAATTCTAATGCATTGCTTCTGGTTAGTCTCTTCAGCTAATATATATTTTGATTATGTGTCTGAAGTATGACTATTTTTTGTCTTGCCCTTCAGTTGAAGGTTCTCTGAGCGCATCAAAGATATTGACTAGAAGAGATGCAAGCAAAACTAAGGTCAATGGAAACATAGACCTGAATCACCAACAACGCCCTACAATTAAAGCAGGTCAGTGGTGTTATGTTACTAGCAGTAGCATATGCTTGTTTTCTGATGCATTAAAGTTGATCTGTTGTTCCATCCATTTGATGCAGAGCTTATGGAACCACATTTTTGATACAGACTTCTTTGAATAGTGATCTGTATAAATCATGATGACCGCTGAAGCTTAAGTCTAATGATGTTTGTGTAAAAAAGATTGGGCGAGAATGTAGGATATATATTGTATACCTTCTCGCAGCTGCACAGAGCAATCGTGTGAGTATGACCTGCGTTTGATCAAACATCAGTCTAAAAAAATGTAGATTCATAGGGAGAAACATCAAAAAGTTTGGGCGAGAATGTAGGATATATATTGTATACCTTGAAACTTTTTATGTTCTATGATGGAAAATAAACTAGATATGTAATGTAATAGAAGACTCTGTTGGCTTGCATTTGAGTCACATATATATTAAGTGTGCAACAGATTTCAAATTAGATTATTTTTACTAGAAGGAATCTGTAAGAAATCATAAAACATTATTAATTGTTTCACTCTTCAGGCCATGTTACAGTTTTAACTCTCGATGATCATAAGTTTTTCATTGTACTTTCTTGCACTGAGAGATACTTGTTTTATGTTTTGAAACTAAGATTATAAATTTCTATGAAAAAAAATTCTTTTTAAAATGTTTGTTTTCTTAAAATATTTCATTTTAACTCTACTGATGTAGTTAAGAAACTAAATCAAGATGCATATCTTTCTTTTCCTTTTTCAGATGATATACTACTTGGAGAGAAAAGAAAACTTAGAGACAAATTTTAGAAGCAAATGATTTTTGTTTGAGATAAGTAACTCCTATTTAACATGTTCTAAGATGTCGTTATGTTAAAGTAAGTACATATATAATAACTTTTTTTATGGAACTTTCAGAATAACCAATTGTATCCTAAAATAACATAGGATTCAATCATTAGCTGCAAAAACAACCATCACTTAATTTTTTCATTTGTACATACCAAAAAAGCGTAAACAATTCAGTATATGTTGAACAAACTAACTGCTATGATAAGGTTTGACGTTAACTTATTATTTAAATAACCAGAGTTGACAATGTTCACAAGTAGCCCGTCTAGCTCAGTTGGTAGAGCGCAAGGCTCTTAACCTTGTGGTCGTGGGTTCGAGCCCCACGGTGGGCGTAACTTGGTTTTTCGTTGGTTATTTTTCCAGTCTGATGCATTAATTAATAAAACAGTATAATTAAACTTGAACATACACCATCCCTAGTATTCTAGGGCCACGTTCCTGCAGATTCAACCATTCCCGAGAGAGTCACATTAAAACATGAACGTAGTTCAACAAGATTTGCTTCAGTTATGCGCGGTTCAATGCAATGCATGTTCGATATTTTTGCTGGTTTATAAGCAACTCACACTGGCTGCAACAGAAAATTTATTTATCCTATGATGTCGTTGTGCCATTTCAAGAAGCCAACGCTAATCATCCTAGTAACCTAGTACTACTACTGTTCGAAACTACTTCTAGCTAGTAGTAGTGGTAGCACTAAATGACCATAACTCACCACGACATAGGTAAATTAAATCAATGAAGCATAGTACATAATTTCAACTCAATAAATTCACCCAACCTCTTGTTAAATCTAAAATAGGATACTACTAAAACAAAACTAGTACTACTAGTATACTCCCTCCATTCTCTTTTATACACCAAACCTTAGTAAAACAAAAAAAATTAGAGGTCAATGTCACATTATAAAAAACTGTCTTAGCTTCTAATTAGTAGTACTATTAGTATTATTATCTTGAGTTAAATTAAATGGTAATAGGTTTTATGAGTTCCATAATTGGTTAAAAAAACATTTGATCAAATTTTACATATATCTCAATCGAATTTTGAATCACCAAAGTTCATTTCTAATTGAAACTATAACCTTGAGACAAAAAAAAATTAATATATTAAAAAATGGAATAAAAATGATACACTTTTTTAATAGAAAATAGAAAAGAAAAGATATTGATAGAATACATATTTTATGTATTTTATTTTATAGTTATTATAATATTTTATTGCTAAAAAAAAAGTTATTATAATATTTTATTTTGTTTTGCATGGTTGAGATAGTTCAATTTAATTCTTAATATGATATATCAAGATCATGTTTAAGATCTAGTAGACCACATGTATCTATAATTTATTTTTATGTTTTAGATGGTCAATCTTGTTGGAAATTCACCTCACACCGTATGAAAAATTCCCTTCAATCTTGATCTCAAGATAACCCACAATATGATAGTAATGATAATAACAAGTAATTATCAAGAACAATAAAAGAGAAGAAGAATAACCAAGAAAGAGAAGAATGAGAGAAAAAATATTTGGAGAGAATGTGTTACCCATAACTGAGATTTTTTATTGCTTATATAACTTTCACTTGCTAAACACTGTCACCGTGAAATCTGTTCTATGTTGTGTTTGAATACAATGCAAGGCACCCTATTTATAGTTTTAGGTTTACAAAAGCCCAAAACATAAAAGACCCAAAATATTCAAATCAAATCAAATCAAAACAATGAATTACATTTAACACACCACCTAATTCATTGTGTCTATAATGACTACATTCATCATGACTCTTAGACTTCTGAAGGCTTCGACCTGGACTCCCTTCGTCATGATATCTGCAATCTGATTCTCAGTTCTGCAGTGTTCCAACTTCATCTTCCCTTCTACTACCTGCTCTCGAAGATAATGGAATCTCATTTCGATGTGCTTGCTTAAGTCCATACAGGGCTTTATGAAGCCTGTACACCTTTCTTTCTTCGCCTTGTTTCACAAACCCAGTTGGTTGTGCAACATAAACTTCTTCGTCTAAGGGGCCATTAAGGAATGCACACTTCACGTCCATCTGACATGTGTGCCAGTTGTTCATATTTGCTAGACCAACAACCAACCTGATTGTTTTAATTCTAGCAACAGGTGCGAATACTTCATCGAAATCGATTCCTTCCTTCTGAAGAAATCCTTTCGCCACAAGTCTCGCCTTGTGTCGAGTTACTTCTCCTTTAGGATTTACCTTTACCTTGTAAACCCACTTCACATCAATTGTCTTCTTACCTTGCGGCAATTCGCCAAGTGACCAAGTATCATTGACTTCGATGGACTCCAATTCTTCAATCATTGCTTTCATCCACTTCGAATCTTTCAATGCCTCAGCTGCATTGACTGGTTTGACATCTGCGTAGAAAGCATAATGTACCAACTCACCCTCTTCATCGACTACATCATCTGATGTAATTACACATTCTTGCAACCTTGCAGGCATGTGTCTTGTTCGTCGAGGTCTGCTTGAACCCGCTTCATCTGCAACTGGTTCCTGTCGAACTTCTATTTCGACTTCAGTGGCTGGTTCTTCACAAGAGATTCTCACTGAATCCTTCTTGGCATTCTCAGTTTAATCCCATTCTTTAAGCTCATCTATGATCACGTCCCTGCTGATCACTACCTACTTATTCACTGGATCGAACAGTTTATAACCTTCTGTCGAATGATATCTTATCAAGATCATCTAATTCGACTTATCATCAAGCTTCCTTCTCAACTGATCTGGCACATGTCTATGTGCTATAGATCCAAACACCTTTAAGTGACTGAGACTAGGCTTGACACCAAACCAACATTCTTCCGGTGTGATTCCTCCAAGCTTCTTCGTCGTACATCTGTTCAATATATATGTTGCTGTCGAAACTGCTTCTCCCCATAATTTTTTAGGTAGATGCTTTCCATTCAACATACTTCTCACCATATTCATGATGGTTCTGTTCTTGCATTCTGCAATCCCATTTTGCTGTGGAGTATAAGGTGGAACCACCTCATGCACAATCCCTTCTTTTACACATAGTGTATCAAACTCTTTCGACACATACTCCCCACCACCATCAGTCCTCAGAATTTTCAGCTTTCGGCCACTTTGTCTTTCGATCATGGACTTGAATCTGGAAAATACCTCAATCACATCACTTTTCTTCTTGATGAGGTAAGTCCACAACTTTCGACTGTAATCATCTATAAACGTAACAAAGTATCTATTGCCACCAATCGAATCCACCTGGATTGGACCACATACATCAGAGTATATGACTTCAAGTATTGCCTTCGACTTCCTTCCTGCATCCTTGCTGAAGCTATTCTTGTGTTGTTTTGACTAAACACACTCCTCACAGACTTCACTTGGAATATCGACTTCTGGTAATCCTGAAACCATATTTCTTCTCTTCAGTTCTCTGATGTCATTAAAGTTGAGATGACCTAGTCGAAAATGCCATAACCATTAATCTCTGCTGGCTGCAATTGCTAGACATTTGTGCTCCATCACATTGAGTTCAATCTTGAAGGTCCTATTCTGAGACATTGGAGCCTTCAAGATTAATCTACCACCTACGTCGAGAACTCTCATCATCTTGTCTTCGACAACTACCTTGTAGTTCTTTTCGACAAGCTGCCCTATACTGAGCAAATTACTCTTCATGCCTGGTATGTACAACACATTGGAAATTATTGACCTTTTGCCATATTTCCTCATAATCAGAACATCACCAACACCTTCGGCTGCTAGAGTGTTGTCATTTGCAAACTTCATTGTGTTCTTCGACGAGGGCTTCATGTTGACAAACCAATCTTTCCTTCCAGTCATATGTGATGAGCATCCTGAGTCCAAGTACCACTGATCTTGGAATCTTTCTTCATCTTTTGTTGTGACCATTAGCAACGTTTCTTCTTCTTCATGTTTCGCCAGCTTTGCATCAGTCTCTTGATTTCTCTTCCTTTCTGGACAATCACTAACGTAATGACCATACTTCTGGCAATTGAAACATTTAATGTGGCTTTTGTCTGTCTTTCGACCACCACCTCTTCCTTTACCTGCAGTACCACCTCTTTGGTTTCCTTGGTTCCAAGGTTTCTTCTGATTCGACTGGTTTCCTCCTTTGTTGCCATTCCAGCTACCTTTGCCTTTTCTTTCCTTTTCTGACTGCGTCTGCAAAGCCATATCTTTCGACTTTCCTGCAGCTCTCTCAGCCATCCTCTGTTCATGAGACTCAAGAGTCCCTTGAAGCTCT